TTGAGATTTTTGAGGTTATGTTTGAGATTTTTTAGGTTACATTTGAGATTTTTGAGGTTATGTTGAATATTTTTGTGTCTATGTAACACAAAAGTACTCAAAATCTTGTCCTATCTCGTTGAGCACAGCCTTAAACCAGTGGATTACCTGTCAAGAGCCGATTTGTCCTCACCACACCCATGCCATTGCCATGGCTTCCATAAAAACTCTCAATGACGTCAAAAAACTCATCCTAATGAGATTTAAACGAGAATAAAGAATTCCAAAGCTAAGCAAGAAGAACTGAGCAAACATGAAAGTACTCATTATAATTTCTGAGTAAATAAAAGATCAAGAGGAATAAATAAGAATGCATAAACAAAGATGTGAGGGTGGATGATGATGAATAGACGTGAGTATTTGCAAAGCGTCTGGGTTTAGTCTGATGAATCGTTTGGGAATGATTTTTGAAGAATTTAGCAGAGATTCAAGGTTTGTGCTTGGCACAGGAAGATTAAGATTGAAAAGAGTTTGAAAATTGATAGGTTTAAGAAGTTTGAGCTGAATATTGACAGAAATGCTTAATCTAACCTCAAAAATAATGCTCATAACCTCAAAATATTGCTCAATCTCTTCAAATAACATCCCATATCTACTCAAATCTCCTCAATTGCCCTTCCATGACTCCCAAATCTGTCAAAACTCATCAAATAAAATTCTCATTTCACAACAGCAGCTTCTGGCTCCTGTTCAGATATTAAATTACGCATTACTTAACAAGCATCAAACTTAAAGATTCATTTCGGAAGATAAGTCGTTGTCTGACATTCTTCAATTCTCGAGTTCCAGTTCAATCTTCTTTCTTTTGGTGTCAGAGTGTCTAAAGTTTCATACACAAAATGTTCTAGAATTGAAATGGCGAAATGGAAGGAAACTCCACTCGTGACCCAATTTTTTAAGTTTATGAATGGGATGTCTTTAATAGATGTGAGTAAAGATAGTTGGGAATATCAAATTGCAGACGATTAAGTGGATGTGATTTTTATGTATTTAATGTATCAAGAAAAATTATGGAAATTTATATTAATTCTTTTTTTTTTCAATTTTAAAATGTGAGATGGAAATGAATGGTTGAGGCGGGAAGTGAGAGAGAAAGATTGGATGATGGATTGGTGGAGATTTTGGGTGCAGGTTTTTAAAAATTGTTGGAATTTTGAGGTTATGTTGAAATGTTCTTTATAACTTTGAGGCTAGAAGGAGTTTTTGACAAAATTTTGAAGGTTTTCGCAATTTGTCTCAAAATTTGCAGTTAATGTCAAAAAAAAATAATTTTAATTTTTGAGGTTATGTCAAACTTTTTATCAAAATTTGATGAATAAGCAAGTTTTTGGGGTTAAATGTGAGATTAAGTTGAACAGTTTTGAGCTTAAGTTCAAATAGTTTAGGTTAAATTGATTTAATTCGAATTTTTTAAGGTTAAGTTGACCTTATCTAAGTCATTTGAAGCTATATTGAACTATTGATCACAATTTTGAGGTTAAAAATATAAAACATGTTAAATTATGATCAATTCCACTAAAACACACCCATCCTAAATTCCCCCCTTTAAAAAATCTTGTCATCCTCCGATAACCTTTAATTCCAAAAATAGCACAAATCATCCCCAAAATCTCAATATAAAGGAACCGAAAAAGAGAAATAAAGAAAATAAGATTAATTGCAGCAATTTTCACATCACAAAAGGATTTTCATTTTCATTCTATTTGGGCCGTCTTACATTAAAATCAGTTGAGCATAAAATTGAAGATTTTTTTTATTTGAACTTTTTCGAGATGGAGGCGTGTGAGGGATTTTGAGGACGAAAAATATTTTTATTTAATCTTGATGACAAATGGCTGAGAAACTGTTTTTGGTTAGATAAGGAAGTGTGAACGGAAGGAAGTTGGTGGAGGAGTGGTATTGATGGGTTTTATGGTGGGTGGGAGTAGCAATCATGCTGATTATCACTTATTTTTGAAGATTTATTGAACATAACCTCAAAAATTGGAAGATTTATTGAACAAAACCTCAAAAATTGGAAGATTTATTGAACATAACCTCAAAAACTGTTAAGAATTCTTGAACATAACCTCAAAATTGGAAAAATTATTGAACATAACCTAAAAAATTGTTAAGAATTTCTGAACATAACCTCAAAATCAACAATTTTTTCCTCCAATCCATCTCATCACACCCATTTGCTATCCTTAATTGCTAATTTAAGAAACAAAAAGCAGATTTTCCCCTCAAATCTTTAGCAACGAAGCCTCTTATCAAGAGCTTTTATACCAATTAGACATAAGAAAACCTTTCTGCAGAATTTTACATGAACTTTGGCATTTACAAGATTTTTCTTCTGCTCATGTTCAACATGTAAAGGTTGTCTGTGCTCAATTCCAAAAGCCTCTTGAGAATTTCATCTCGAAACTTCCTCAATGACTTTGAAAAGGAACTTTTTTGAGTATTAAAAGACACTTTTTCAAGTTCAAAATGAACTGAATATTAATTTAAATGTAAACTAAGTTTTTTGCTCATAAATTAATAATTATAGAGACACAGAACGGCTGGCTTACATGTGGAATCTTAATAAATTAAATGAAAAGTAATAAAAATGACAAGTTTTTATGTAAATTTATGTAAAATTGGAATTAATGGATGCAAATTTTGCTGTTCTGGAATTTTTTCAAGGATGAAGGTGGGTCAATTAGCATTTAATATGAGGTCAATGATGTAAAATTGCTCAAAAACCGTCAATATTCTTAAAGTAATTCCTCATTTTCTCTTTAATTTTCCTTCTTTATTTTCAACCCTCAATTCAAGCCAAATCCCACCCACATTAAATCAGATGGATTGTCATGGAAATTGTAAAAGGCAATAAATTGAGATTCTTGAGGATTATCACTTGTAGATATCAAGATGGGACGCATGTTAATGGGACGGAATTGATGATCTCTTATAAATTGATTAAATCGACCTTAATTTGTCTTGTCTTGTGCTTTTGTGGTAACTTGATGTGAGTTTTGAATTTTTATTAAAATTTTTGAGGGTCTTTCAAAAGTATTGAATCAAAAACAGCCAAAAATCCTCGTCCAAATTTCAAAAAACGCAGTCACAACAACAACGAAGCCTCCACGCGCGCACAAAATTAAGTCGACATGATAATGGCAACAACAGCAATTTTATCATCAAGAACAGCAACAATAATGATGATGACAATAATGGGGGGTCGTGAAAGAAGAAAAAAAGACTTGCTGGAAAATTGTTTTCTTTTGTTTTTCATTGTTCAGGATTTTTTTTTTGTTCATTTTTATGCAAAGCAGGAACTTTAATAAAAGTTTTTTTGTGTTTTTGATGAGTTGCGAGTTGGGATAGGGGGAGGGGGGGGGGGGGGGGGGGGGGTACATAGAGGAGGAAGGAGGAACGTTGAGGATTTTAAACTTAAATTGACTAAAGTTATTTGAAATAAATGGAAGGAACATCATGCAAAGGGTCCAGCATTCTTTGGACTGGAGGCACTTGCGATTCAAATTATAAATGAAAAATGGAAATGAAAAATTTGACAATTTCAAGAAAATCCATGATTTTTAAGCATAAGTCACAAAATAATTTAAAAATTTTGTTTTTAGAAAATTTCAGAAAAATTAAATTTTCTTCATTTTACCAAAACATAACCTCAAAATTTAATTTTTTTCACTTCCACAAAATTCAACTCAAAACCAAACTAAATTCTCTTTTTTTCCACCGCAACATAAAATAAAACTTTTTCTATATTTTTACATAAAAACTTTTTTCATTTTTTCAAATAAATTAGAAAAAAAAATCTTCATAAACAAAAAAAGAAACCCCAGATATCTCAGATCTGCTGCTTTTGTTTATGATCTTATATTTCTTGTTAGTTCCACGTGGATTCTATTTTTAGTGGTTCATCAGTTTTTGTTTCCGAGTGTGGATAGTTTATTAACGGTTAATCAGGGATTTCGGATGATTTTTATTTAAAGTTTGTAAGGATTAAAGAATTTGATCCAAAAATGTGATTTTTTTTAAATATTTCAAAAATTCAAATTCTTAAATTTTCTCTAAAATTCAAAATTTGTTTTTCAAATTTTTTAAATTTGATTTTTTTAAAAAAATTCAAAAATTTAAATTTCCAAATTTTCTCTAAAGTTCAAATTTTGTTTTTCAAATTTTTTAAATATGAATTTTTTTAAAAATTTAAAATTTAAATTTCCAAATTTTCTTTGAATTTCAAAAATGATTATTTTAATTTTTATTATTTTGAAAAATCGCAATTTAAACTTTTTTAATTTTTTTAAAACTTACAATTTAATTTTTTTTTTCAAAAACCCACAATTTTTATTAAAAACTTATCAAAATCTTTTTTTTCTGGTTTATAAGCCCAAAAAAAATTATTCTTTATTTTTTAATTTTAATAAATTTTCACAATTTTCGATGATATGCTTCATGTTGGAATGTTAAAGAAAAAATTATGAGCCGAAACATACGTGAGCTAGTTATGTATACACATTCTAAATAGAATATTTATTACTTCGTTATTTGGAAATGTTTATTTTTCCGTAAAAATCAAAATTCATAAATTTTATTAAAATGCGCTAGCGCAGTCGGAAATGTTTTGATAATTTAAACAAAACTTTTTCAATCAAGTTTGGAAGTTTTTAAAATTTTAGTTTATTTAAAAATCCAAAAATCTATTTCTCAATTTTCACAATTTTTTTTTTTATCATCAGCAACAAATCATTTTTTGCCATTTAATCTTGTCTCAAACATGACATTGAACATGTGTTTGTTTACTTTTCATACTCGACTTTTTTTTATGTCTACCAAGAGACACAAAGCCGTAGAAAATCAGCAATAAATCCTCTCAACATCATGTTCAAATATTTTTTTTCACATTTGAATAAAAACAAATTTTTTATGCATTTTGTCGCAAAAAACAGGAAAACAAATAAAAAAAGTCTACTCACTCTGGTTTTGGTAAATGTGGATTGAGCTCGAGATTGTTGCAAATTTCATCCCAATCGGGGTAGCAGCGTTCCTTGATGCGTGACACATGTCCAACCAAATTGGCGCATTGCTCTACTATGAATTCTTTCAATGCGTATTTTGCATCGTCGGAGATGAAGTAGATTTGAGCGGTTGATGAGAAAACAACTACGTCCAACTGTAAAATGCGAGAATATTTTAGTATTTTGTGTGAAACTTAACCTCAAAAGTCCCAAACATAACCTCAAAAGTCCCAAACATAACCTCAAAAATCCCAAACATAACCTCAAAAATCCCAAACATAACCTCAAAAATCCCAATCATAACCTTAAAATTATAAAAAATACTTACAAGTGTTGGTTCATCTCCAAAGAAGAATGGTTTGTCGGCGAGGAGCTCTGAGAGTGCCTTCAAATCTTCCTTGCCCATTTCGACGATTTCTTCTGGCTTATGTACGCCAATACCTTGTGCCTTGACTTTTTTGGATGCCTAGATGGTGGATGATAATTTAAATTTAAGTTTTTTTTTAATATTTAACATACAGGGGCCTGTAATTAGCAATAGGGGTCTATAACTACCAAGAGGGGTGTGTAACTATCGAAAGGGGTCTACAGTTATCAAGAGGGGCTTGTAATTATTAAGAAGGGGTCTTTAACTAGCAATATAGGTCTGTCCTTATCAGGAGGTATCTGAAACTACAAACAAGGGGTCTAAAACTACGAATAAGGGGCATAAAGCTACGAATAGGGTGCCTGAAACTCAGCAAATTCTACTCACTCGATGTCCATAGTTGACCTTGAACAAGAAATTCAAGATGGCATTTGGAATTTTGCTTCCCAAAGACTGTTGGAAGTTGATCTTATATCCATTAACCATTTCACCAGGATTCTTTGCACGCCATGCCATAATGACAAATGTCAAATGATTCTCAACCATTGAGATCATTGCATGAGAAATGGTCTTTTGTTCATTGTTCAAGCCAACATCAATGTCCTTTTCGAATTTCTGTGACAATTCCTTAATGATGTTACTTGAATCGCAAATTTGTTGACCATTGACTTCAACAAATGGCAATTGTCCCTTCTTCGAGTACAACTTGAATTTATGGTCGACGTTCTGGAAATAAAAAAAAGAAGATTTTTTTTGCGTTAGTCAAAAATTATTTTTGTGCGCATATTTTTCATCATTTGGAGCTCAATTTATGTTTTTATTGTCATTGACAATGCAAATTGGATTTTGAGACACTCGTTGAGAGAGTTTTTAAGTTTGCATTTACATCAATTGACTTTGTCGTCTTAATGGAACAAGATAATAAGAACAAATTGATGTAAAATTTGAATTTTTTAAGATAACGAGAAGATTTTTTTTTGAATCTTTTGATTATTGCTGGATTAGAGCTTGTTAAAGTTTGTGTGGATTAAGGGATATTGTCAGACTTATGGGCGACTAGCTATGTTTTTGTACGAGAAAATGTAAATTTTTGAGACTAGGTGCCTTCACACTAGAATAGCTATGTCCAGGTGCACTCACATTAGAGTATCTAGGTTCAGGTGCATTTACACTAGAGTAGCTAGGTTCAGGTGCATTCACACTAGAGTATCTAGGTTCAGGTTCCTTCACACTAAAGTAGCTGTGTTCAGGTGCTTTAACACTAGAGTATCTAGGTTCAGGTGCATTTACACTAGAGTAGCTAGGTTCAGGTGCATTCACACTAGAGTAGCTGTGTTCTGGTGCATTCACACTAGAGTTGATAGGTTTAAGTGACTTCACACTAGAGCAGCTTTGTTCAAATGCTTTCACATTACAGTTTTGAAATTCAGCCGCCTTCACATTAATGTAATTCATCAATTTAATTGGAAAATTTTCCCACGATCCCGAAATAATCTCTCAAACAGTTCAAAAGGCATTTTTATTAATTCATTTTTAAATAAACTGTTTCCAAGAAATCAGAAAATCCTTTCAACACTAATAATAAATGAACAGTAACAACATTTGCAATGCTGAAGCACTACATGAATGAATCCTTTCAATGGAATTTATATAAATATTTAATTTTAATTGCTGATGAGCGTTGCTTGGTTGCTGTTGTGCCTTAAGTGAAGGATTTTTGAGCTTTATTTTTAATATTTCATTGAAGATGTTGGGATGGAAGGAGTCTGTCAAGGTTTATGTGCTTGTTTGGCAGTTGAGTGACTTTGTAAGCATGTTATGAAGTTAATTTTGGCTTATTTTGAGGTTATGTATGAGTTTTAACTGGTAAGGACTAAGTGATGGTCTGAAGTTGACGACTAAACCTTAAGCACAAGTCAATTGTCACCAAAGAAAACTTATCCTTCAAGTACACGTGCAAAAAAAAATTTCCGACCTTCCTTTACCCTTTCAAACTTTAATTTCCACTTCCTCATGCTTCCCATCCTCAATATCCCCATTTTCATCCACTTAAGTCCCGCATTCTCATTTCACACAGCATGAAAGTCTAAGGAAAATGTTATTACATTAACTACGCACACATCTGCAGTATATTTTTATTTGCGAAGCGGCATTTTGTGCTTTTGAAGTGGTTTTCTCCACCCTGTAGGCCCCCACACCCCCTAAAAAAATATGATGAAAATTCATCTTATCGCAGGCAGAAAATCTGTCTCAAGTAGACTCACTGTGCATGTATCTTTATTTAACTGTTACATTTACTTCGTCTTCGTCTTCATTTTCATTTATGTTTGAACTCAGGGCTGGCTTTTTTAATGAAATTTTGTCTTTTCTCATTCAATTTTCTTCATCTTGTCTCTTTTGTTGGATTTTATTGGCTTTTTTTGTTGTTGTACTTTTTGTTTTGTGTACTAACATGCTTTTGTTTACTTTATCGGATGGGGGTGAGGATGGATCGAGTTAATAAAATGGGAAATGAGATAAAGAATTTTGTTTTGATGAAGTATGGAAATTTCGAGAAGAATTAAAGCTGTTTTGTTGGATGTAACCTCAATTTTGAGTGATATAGCCTCAATTTTGAGTGATATAGCCTCAAATTTAGGAAATAAAGCCTCAACTTTGGAAAACAAAATTCAGGTAAATAACCTTAAAATTCAGGAACATAACCTTAAAATTCAGGAATATAACCTCAAAATTCAGGAACATAACCTTAAAATTGAGGAACATAACCTCAATAATCAGGATCATAACCTCAATATTCAGAAACATAACCTCAAAATTCAGTAACATAACCTCAAAATTCAGGAACATAACCTCAAAATTCAGGAACATAACCTCAAAATTCAGATACATAACCTCAAAGTCAGGAACATAACCTCAATATTCAGGAACATAACCTCAAAAATTAAGCAACTTAACCTCAAATTCAATCAATATAACCTCAAAAATATTCAATTTCATCCTCAGTTCCCTCAATAACCACAATTTGCATTCATCCCAATCAACTTTCTATTCACCAAAAACTCCATTCATGTCTAATTATCATCGATGACTCATAAATTCCCACATTAAACCTCCCATGCACTTGCACATAATCTTCACAAATTAGTCACATTTTCTCATCTCTTCAATGCCTTCACAAAAGAACCAGAACATCGCTCACACATAATAGAATCGATTCATGTATCCGTTCCACGTCTATTGACATTCTTTTTTTTTATATATATTTTAAAGTTCGTAGTACTTTAAAGTGCGAGGGGAGACGGCATATGTACAGATACAGATGAAACAAGACACAAAAGACATCAATTGTGCAGTCTCTTTTTTTCGCAATCCATTGCACACAGATGCAGCATGCAGTTAGTGAACTGCAAAAACCCGAGAGGTCCCCGCTATGTGGAATAGAAAGAAAGATACAGAAATGGGAGAGAAGACGAGTAATGAGAATAGATTGTGGGTGGATGTGAAATCATTGAACCTTTTTTGTTGCTGCTACTGCTTTGGATGATTAATGTCTGGATCGAGTTGGAAAATCAATAAAGTTTTAAATTGTAGAATTTTTTTTGACCCAATCGACATCAAATAAGAAAACCCATAAACTTAAAGAAGCTACAAAGTCGTCAAAAATTGAAATTTTGTTTGTTTGCAGATAACAAGGATCGGTCTTATCTTTAATAGACTATAAAATTTTATCTAAATGTATCGAGAAAGTCTTGTTTATTGTGGAATAAAGAGATACTTAATGGCGTTTTATGGGATATTGTGTACTTTTTTGAGGTTATGTTGTATTTGTTCATGTTTGAGTTTTGTTAAGAAAATTGAAATTAAAATTTATTGGGTGATGCTTGATGGGTTTTTGAATTGGGTTGGAGTTTTACAACAAATTGGTAAATATTTGGTGAGTTTGTGGAAATGAGGTGAGTTTTGTGCATATTTGGAGAGTTTGGTGAACAATGAGGTGAGTTTGGTGAATACTGGGTGAGTATGGTGAATATTTGGTGAGTTTGGTGAACAATGAGGTGAGTTTGGTGAGTTTGGTGACTATTTTGTAAGTTTGGTGAATATTTGATGAGTTTGATAAACAATGAGGCGAGTTTGGTGAATATTTGATGTGTTTGGTGAACAATGAGATGAGTTTGGTGAATATTTGATGAGTTTGATGAACAATGAGGTGAGTTTGGTGACTATTCGGTGAGTTTGCTGAACAATGAGGTGAGTTTGGTGAATATTTGATGAGTCTGGTGATTATTTTGAGAGTTTGGTGAATATTGGGTGAGTTTAGTGAACAATGAGGTGAGTTTGGTGAATATTGGGTGAGTTTGGTAAACAATGAGGTGAGTTTTGGTGAATATTGGGTGAGTATAGGGAATATTTGGTGAGTTTGGTGAATATTTGGTGAGTTTGGTGAATATTTGGTGAGTTTAGTGACTATTTTGTGAATTTGGTGAATATTTGGTGAGTTTGATGACCAATGAGGTGAGTTTGGTGAATATTTAATGAATTTGATGAACAGAGGTGAGTTTGGTGAATAATGAGGTGAGTTTTGTGCATATTTGATGAGTTTGATGAACAATGAGGTAAATTTGGTGAATAATGAGGTGAGTTTGGTGAGTTTAGTAGATATTTCAGTGCAATGCTATCCATACCTTAATAATCACTGAACCATCCACCCTTTCTCCCCTTTTAGTAATCCGGGTCATTAAAAACCTCCAACAAAGCATTTCCACCGGATGAAAAACAACAGGAAGTTCAAATTGAAAACCCCCCCAAAAAACTTTTTGCCTTTTTCCCAACTCGAAAAAAAAATCGATAAAAAACTTTTTTAAATATTTTTTTTCCATCCTCAACACAAAATATAATAAAAAAAAAATTCAACCCATAAAATGAGTTCCTTTTGTGAGTACAAAATTCGGCATAAAATTCATGTGCATGTGTTCAGCATGCATTTGTGTCAGTGCTGCACATTTCACACAAATACATTCAACTAAAATGAGACTGAGTAAAAAAATGCCGTGTGCCAACAATAAGGGCGAGGTTGCATAAAATACAGTCGTAGATGTGCAATGCTGACACTACGCATGCGCGTTCGCATGTTGCTTTGCAATTTTTCATATTCCTTTTTTGTACTTTTATGCTCTCTCTCTCTCTCTCTCTCAGTCGGAGAGAAAGGAAACACGACGACGACAAACATGAGTGTCAATGAACGCTAACGCGACGCTCGCGCCATATTTGTACAATTTTAAATGAAATTCAAACATGAAAAATTTATTTTTCCGAGCCGTTTATTTGAGTTCTCGTTTTGGGTGTGATGAGGAAAAGGAAGAAGTTTGCTTTTGCTTTTGTTTTGTGTTTGACTTGACACAGATTTGAAAGTTTTGGATATTTTGTAGTTTTTTAATGGTTTAAGTGGTGGTTTAGGGGGTCTTGGCGCTGACTGAAGGGTTTGATTAGCTGTAATTTTTATTTTCCCGCCAAAAAGTACTAGGATAGACACTAAGCTCTCTTAGTTTCCCGCCAAAAATTCTTAACTATTCAAAATGCTTATTTTGGATGAAAACTTACTAAATAATGACATTTGAGTTGTTAATCTCATTTAAATTAGTCAAATTTCTCAGAACCGACGCCTAACCTTCCAGCCTACCCAAACCTAACCTCCAAAAGCTGCACCTAGTCCTCTCTTCAACAAAATTTCCTTCTTTTAACTCCTCAATTTTCCACATTTACATTCGAAATTATTTTCCTTCCATCCACCAATTTCGTGTATGCATGCATATGACCGGGTTGAGACACGACACGACATGAATGATTTAGTTTAGTGCCTTTAAACACTCTCCAAAATAGAGAAAAAATGTTAATTACATTCTTCATGGTTATGAAATAGCAACAAAGCATGTTGAAAGTGCCGCTTAACTGATAATGAACATTATTTTTTTTTTTCGGGTATTTAAATTATGAATCGCATGTTGGTGTCGATGATCCATGTCGATTGTGTCATGATGGGAAAATTATTGAAAATTATTTTGAGTTTCTTTTGTTGGATGTGTAATTTGCAAAGTGAAATTGCTTTTTTTTGGGGAAAGTGTAGCTTTTTTGGTATGGGGATGGGTTAGGTGAGCATATGGATAGGGTACTTGGGAGACCTGTTCGTTTGTGC